AAATACTTGATAATTACTTTTTCGATAACTGCTTTATATCATGCGACCACGTTGTACTAGTCAAATGAACACCACCTTCTCGTTCACCTCTAATTGGATTTTTTACAACAGTTAGTAACAGAAATATTGCTACAACACCTAATACAGGGGTAATACGTAACCCCCATTGCCAGTGACCGGTGATACGGGCTGTTTCACCTCCTGTGATATATCCTAAACCACTAAAATCACAAAACATGTATGTGTAAAATATATAATCTTGCATATATATATATATATATTACAATATTTATATGTTGAATAAACCAAATAAACAGAAACCACTTTCGTGTGTACCTTCCAACTGGAATAGCAAAATAGAAAAGGGCGAGCATTTTCGAACGCACATCTTTCACAAATAAATCGCTAATTATAGTTGGAGCAATTGTGGAATAACTTGCCTCGCCTATACCAACGAGTGCTCTAAAGAATAGGAACCATCCGAATGTCTGAAATAAATTTAATATATTACATACAATATACATACATATATATACGTACACAATAAATTTAATATATTACATACAATATACATACATATATATACGTACATACACACGCGCGCGCGCGCAAGCACACACACACACGCATACACACATGTATGTATATGTATGCGTATATGTATATATATAATAGTAATGTTTTCTAGGCCTACTAATAGAAGATGGAAAATTGAAGGTATCAGAGGCTAAAATATATTTAAAACTTGACAAGATATAAAATTTGTCACAATTGGTCTGTTCTTTTTAACTGCACTGCTGAATTGTGCAATAAGTTAAAGTGAAAAAAATATATTTATCTCACTTTAACTTACTGCACCAGTTCAGCTAGAAAAAACAGACCAAATTAATTCACTATCCTACATATGTTCCATAGTTGCATAAAATTTATATTATCTCATCTTTTATTGTGAATTTAATGTATGTATGTGTGTGTGTGTGTGTGTGTGTGTGTGTAACAAAAATTATACTTACATTCATATAAGAACCAACCAATGTTGTCAGACACCACAGAAATACACCACTGCTCATAATAAATTTTCTATTGTAGCGATCTCCCAAATATCCAAATAATGGTGCAAACACCATATAGCTCAAAATAAATGCAGTTTGTAGTAATCCTGACTTATCGTTGGTAATGTCAAAGTCATGCTTGATATCATTCAAGATACCTAAAATTAAATATTTGCTAATAACTTATACACAACATAAAATGTTAAAATATATCCTAGAGATGTTCCAGAGATATCTGGACATCGTTAAGATGTAATTTTTGGATATTTCTACTCTGTGGGAAATATAGAAAATAAATAGCATCTTATAACCACAATTGCAATGCCTTACTAGTTGATGAAACTTGTTGAACATACATGCTTCATGGTGGATTTAATTTGATATATCACAAAAGAAAAAGAGGCTTACCAGCAACTGTAAAGCGATCCATATAATTTATAAGATTTACGAAACACAGAACGGCTACTGTGATCCAATCGCTTCTGCTGATCGACCTCATCTCCGAAGGCATCGTTACTATCACGTGTATCTTTCTCGAATCTTCTTAATCCGCATTTACTGTACGATATTTATCTTCCGTATTAATCGCCCTTCTTTCGTGTAACATGACGCAACGAAACGTGGTGCGTGTCACACTAATTGAAATAATAACTTACCGATAATGCACGCGCACGCTTACTTAAAATTATCTACCTAGCACTGGCTTGTAATATAACCTCAACCACACCTTACCTCGCTACACGAAAAGAACTGATTATCGTTTCTTTGAACACCGCATACATCACAACATGTTCGATTGAAAAATTCAATGTCAATAAAAAAAAACAATTAATTAAATGTACTTGTGTGTATTTCACCCGAAAGGAATTTAAGAACGGCCAAATTGTAAAAATTTCTTTTTTCTAAAAGCACTTTCTTCTAGAGGCGCCCTCTGAAGAAGCGGATCCAAAAGCAGTGTTCCGAGATAGGACAGTTGCGTATGCACTCAAGGTTACGTTCAGATTCCCTACCCGGGTGCACTCTAATACTAGAAGTGCTATAGTATATGTAACATATACTATAGTGTTTCTAGTAATAGAGTGCACCCGGGTAGGGAATCTGAACGCACCCCAAGGTTTGTTCTTTTCAACTGAACTACGCGGAACTGAAAGACGCGGAACGCGTAGCGGATCTAGTAAAATTTTGTCTTCCGCGTTTCCGCACTTCATGTAATGGCACCCTAATGGCTCCTGCACACAGGACGCGGTAATGCTTGCCGCGCAGCGGAAGTTCGCGTAACAGCCAATCAATATGTTGTTTTTCTGTAAGAGCTACAAAATTATTACAGAAAGCAGCATATTAATTGGTTGTCGCACGAACTTCCGCCGCGCGGCAAGCGTTGCCGCGTTCTGTGTGCAGGAGCCATAAAGGTCTAAAGCCAGCGGCATAGTATATATATATATATATATGGAGGGGGAATGCTGGCAGGAAAGTGTCTCCAAGATGTGAGCGAGAGAGAAAGCTATACGTTCCTATTCGTCCTCTGTGCGTATGCGTTGAAGTTGACAGGTTAGGTTGGGTTATAGAGTTGACAGAAGATAAAAGTTATTTATTTTCTTCTCATAGAGCTCTGAGAATTTTTTCAAAATTTTGTATTAACTTTCTAGTACTTCAAGGAAATGCAATAAAACTTAAAAAAATGCAGTACTAAAAAGATAATAT